ACCTATAGCAGGTATCTCAAGATGATGCTCGTCCTCTCTTAGATCCATTCCTGCCTATTCTCATTGACTCAAGACCAATAATTATAGTCACATCACAGTATAGACTGAGCTACACCAGAACAAAGTGTCTTACACACCCAAAGAATTCTAAGACCTGGGCTAACATTATGACTAGGCACTGGAGAAACATGTGCAAGTGTGAACCAGGGAACCCAAATAAGGCTGCATTTATTGACATAGTAGCACTCTCTAGTGAATCAAGATTTAAAGTCTTAGCAAAAAGTCTTGGAGACAATCTTAATATACTGCTGGCATTATTCCTTGAAACTTGGTGCTGTAGATTTTAGCCTGAAAAGCAGATTCTGAAATGGAGATTAGCTTGCAGGAAACTTACCAGTGAGTGCTCTCCGAATCACACCCTGTGAATGGACAGGAATTGGAATTGGATAGAGGGAGGAGTTGAAGACAAAGGAGGCTCAACAAAGGCACCAAGGGAGACTCTGAAGATGGGATGGCCCTTCAGAGTTGCTGAGGTGGGCTAAGGCTGGGACTTTATGCCCACGCATTGGATATAGGCTGCCCCCAGGAAGGTGTCATTTTGGGCTCTTGATTCTGGTGGTGTACAGGTAAAGACTCATCATACTGGCATGAGAAGGCAGGATTGCAGCCACACAATAGGAGGCAGGAAGAAGCAAATCTGGAACCCAAGGGGTTCACTGGGCATCTCTTGGTTTTTTCATGCCTATGAAAGCAACCATGACTCAACAAGTATAAAATATCTTCCCGGGATGAAGGTCTGGACAGTCAACCTCAGGGAAGCAACCTAGATCCACTGATGTGCTGGTGCAATGATGAGTAAAATCTGGAACGCATGATGTAAGAGGAAAGATGACAAATATTTATCATAGCCTCAGGACCAGTTGCAGCAGTGAACTGTACTTTGTTCCACTACTCCTTATCTATTTTTTGTTGAGATTACAGCCTGCCACAGCCCTAGGCTATGAACAAATGGACCTAACAGTGGGCCCAAACAGATCTCAGTGGGCAAGGGGTACACTGAGATTAATCTTGTGCTCTGCCTCACACTCTCAGTTCACTTCCTTATGCTCACCACTGCCTTGGGACCAGATGCACACAGGTGTACCTTAATGACCTGTGCCTCAGCTACACCAAATGTTTCTCACTTTCCACACCCCCAGCCCCACTTCTTCACTATTACTATATGGAACACTTGCAGGAACTTGCTAAATGAATTTGATGCATGCACAAAACAGATTGGAAAAGGAATTAACACACACAGATTAACCCTTTCCTTATGATAGAAGTCCATAAATAAATTCTCCCCTCTCCCCATCCCTCATGAAGACAATTTCAAGGTGCATTCTATTCAGCTTTGCAGAGAACCCTTGGCAAGTTTATGCCCCAGTTGCATACAAGAGGTGATTATTTCAATAATGCACCCTTGACTTTGCTTTCCCTTCTTCCCTATTTTTCCTCATCACCCATTTTTTCTTGGGATCACTTACTTGGGATCAAATAAACTACCTCCATTGCAGGCCCTTGTCTTGATCTCTGCTTTTTGAGATAACCATTTCATGAGATTTAGTTTACCTCCACTTTCCCAGTGAGTGTATTTTTTGCCCAAGGAAGGTCACATGGTGAAATGCAAGGACACTTGGTAAATGTTTCCTTTTCTTTTTTTTGACCAGTAAAGGGATTGCAACCCTCGGCTTGGCGTTATCCGCACCACGCTCAGCCAGTGAGCACACCGGCCATCCCCATATAGGATCCGAACCCATGGCCTTAGCTCTAACAGCACCACACTCTCCCGAGTGAGCCATGGGGCTGGCCCCTTGGTAAATGTTTTCAATGCCCTACCTCAGGAGTATCTTTATTTTTTAATTGACATGTACTGATTGTATATATTTATGCGCTACAGTTATATCTCAATACATATATACAATGTGTGATCAAATCAGAATAATTAGCATATTTATCCCCACAAAAATATGTTTGTGATGAGAGCATCTGAGCTCCTCTCTTCTAGCCATTACAGAACATAAATCATTAAGTAGTATCTTCTTAATAAGGCCGTTATCTCGAAACTTGGACAACGTCAAGATCCACTTCACGGGCGAGTGATTCTACTTTTGGAGGACTTTCTAAAAGGCTGGCCAAAATAAAGCCTTCTGTGAAGACAGAGTCCTCAGGGTCAGTGACAAGCTCACATCAGATCCTTGGTAAAAATGACAAGTCGGTACGCACTGAGCTTTAAGCCTAGAAATTTCTGTCAACGTTGGCAATCCATTCCAAAATAATCTGCCATTACCTTCCCCAAGCACTTATCAAGTTGAATAGCTTTTTTTCATTCTCTTGAAGAATAATCTGTTCTCAATCACATATCTTAAAATCATTTCTCAATTGAATATCCATAAACAGTTTGCAGAATTCCTATTTCACTGTGTATCCTTCTCCCTCCTCCTCTCCCCCTTTCCAAGATTCTAAGATTTAAGATATCTTTACTCAGACTAAAACACTTCAGTATCTTCTCCTCTGTCATAAATAGAAAAGTACTTGGGATGTGAATTCTTGGAGGATATGGAGCCTGTTTTTCATCTTAATATCCACCCCCCGCCCCCCGATCATAGAAGACACCTGAATGTTTTTGAATAAATTTACTCTGGGTATTGGCTGGTCCAGCTGTTGAATTTGGTCACTACTGGTAACTCAGTAGATCTGTCTGATGGTTGTTTTTCAGTCAGAATGGACTAAATTATGTCCTAATAACAAAACTTTATTGTATTAAGACACAGACTTGGCAGTTTTTAACTCACATTACATGTCCAAAGGTTAAAAGTGGAATTCTGTTCATCAAAGTCACTCAAACATCTAGGTTGAGAGGTTCCATCGCAATATATGCTTCCATGATTATATGAAGGAAAGAAAAGGGAATATGGCAAATTAAACACTGGCTCTTGGGCCGGCCCGGTGGCGCACTGCTACAGTGTGCCGCTTGGGAGTCCAGCGGCGCTCCCGCCGAGGGTTCGGATCCCACATACAGACCAGTTCCCGCTCACTGGCTGAGCGAGGTGCGGGCGCAGCGCCGAGGGTTGCGATCCCGTTGCCGGTCCTGGTCCAGTACGGGCGCG